AAAGAATCAAGCGTAAATTTATAATGGTTGATACATTTTAAATAATAAAATCCCAAATTTTTGAGATTAAAATATTGCAAGTTGCATGGAGAAATAAATCGGTCAAACACGGGAATCTGCATCGACCATCCAGTCACTTTTTAATCTCGCGATCGCGAAACGAAGCCGCTGCTTTTCTCGCCTCGCCCTGTGAAAACTTCTTCCCTCCTCTCTTCCTCCCCGGAAAAGAAGAGGGGATTTAGCGTGCGAAACGCCGGAGGCTGTTCACAGAAATGCGAAGGGAGGCGAGTTATTACGTCTCCTCGTTTAGAAGAGAGAATTATCGTTTAACTTAATAATTAACACGATCCAATTTGGAAATTTGGAAAAATGATTTTTAAAGCGGTCGATGATGATGATTTCGTAAGAGGTTGTTGGGACGGAGGGATAAAGGATGCGGGGCGGAGGATGGAAAACAGAGGTCGGAGGACGTAGGGGGTGGAGGTGGGCGCAGCATGGGAGTGATCAATACTACCTCCACACCAAGTTCCCACGGGAGTGGAACGAAGATGGGGAAGGCCAGGACGCGGCAGGAAGACAGGATTTTTCGGGAAGGATCGGTTTACGATTTATTTATTCTCGAGGATCGTCTCTCCGATTAGACGGTTTTAAGCGGTATTTGCAAGTTCGATATTCTTCGAACAGAGAATCCCTCGCGAGCAAATAGCAATTGTTCGAGAATCCTTCTACAACTCGCTTTGAACGTTCGTTCGAGATCGAGCGGAAAATAGAGCGATATCATATATTCGATTTAAATACTTGATGTTCTCTCGAAATCCTTTCTTCAATTTCGTCTGGAACGATAGCTTTCGAAGCCAAGTCTCCGCTATTTATTTATTTAAAGTGTTAAAGAAGGTGTATTTCGAAAAAGGGATCAAACAGTTATTTTCAATAATCGATAACGATAGCTTCCTAGACGAATCTCCCTACTACTTGCTTTCACTTGGAAAATAACATACAAAACTGTCAACGTCCAAATTCCAAAGTGGTATAAAGATATTTATAGGATTTTAGTTTTTGGATATCAAAAATAGATATAATCTTCGACACCATACCTCTCGCTCGTTACGTGGAATAAATACGGACGGATTGGCGAGAATTCGAACGGATTTCCAGGAAAGCTAGGAGGATCTTTAAAAATTTCATGGAAATTTCGATCGGATTTGAAGAGGCTAGCTCTACTCGTGGACACAGCAGAGGAAAAAGGAAGGCAGAGTGGACGTGTAGTATCCGTAGAAACGGATGTATAACCGATGCGTGCGTGACTGGAGGCTGTTAACCTAAACAAGGAATACCGCGCCATACTCGATAGCCCACTGACTCCGTTTCTCCGCGTACACGGTGGAAAAAAGATTGGACCAGTTTTAGAATATCGCCTATCGATTTCATATTCGATTATTTCCCTTTCGTTCAACTCGACGAACAATTACGATTACAATATCCTCGTCTTTCGCATCGAGGAAAAAACCGATTTCTTGCCCTTCGACGCTATCACTTTCCTCCCTTTGCCGATGTTTCGACGCTCGATCTCGTATACACGGACACTGACGTTGATCCAATTTCCGTCGCCTCTCGATTGACATTGCATCGTTGGTGGCATCGTTTAATCGAGTTTCAAGCCTGGGCCCAGTTCAGTTGAATCGAAACGAGTCGAATCGTGACAAGGGTTGCAACTAATTGTGAATTCGGCCTGTAGAGAGGGATTGGAGAGAGGGAGAAGGGATATAGCGTATCGATAAATATCGTTGTTGGATAAATGTAAGGATTGAATGTAATTGGAGTTTGTTTTAAAAATTGTTGGTTTGAGATATTAGCAAGGATTAAGGATTATTTCGTTAGAGAAGATATCAATAAAAGTGGACTTTATTGAATATGATTTCATTGCGTTTTAATGATGCTGGAATAAGAAGAAGTAAAAATTGTGGCCACTTTTATCTCGTAAACGATATTATCGAGAATTATATCGATAACAACTCTTCTAGATTTCGAACAACACACGTTTGAAGATATTCTCTTAGAGAAATCACGTCGAAGAATTTTTCGTTCTTCTCGAAAATAAAGGGATGTTTATTGTTAATCATAAAATAATTTAAACCGTCGCTCAAGGAGGGGGAGGATATATCGTTGTTTCATTTCTCGCCAACTAGGCCAAACGTTGGATTAATCTTCCCTCATGGCCGTTCCTTTAAATCAACAGCAACAAACTTTCTCGCCATTGAAAACTAGAGATATCCCGTTTCTTGAGGATTTCCTCGCGAAGTTATCGTCATCGACCATTTCATTTCGATTTCGTTCATCGATATGTCGATAAATATCGGAATTTTTTGGGAGTGAAGGAGGAGGAGAGAATTTGGAATTGGGCGACAGCGAAAATTAAGGGGAATCCGATATTTTAAAAAGAGAGAGAGAGAGAGAGAGAGGGAAAGGATTCTCGTCCAGGTCGATACACGCATCAGATTAAAATCGTTCGTTTCGCTCGTGAGCCCTGGACAATCAGAAATTGCAATTTTTCAGCGAAACTGATCCTCGAGAAATCTCATCTCGACTTTCGATGGGCTGCTCTTATCGACGTTATTATATTCTGCCCTGTTTCTTTGATAAGGGAAGAACGAAGCAAAAAAGAAAAATCGCCAATATATAACGTTTAAGAAACATTTTCTTAAATACTTTCCAATCATTGAATCATTCATTAGAGTTTCCAAGGATATTATATCTGAAATGTGGTTTAGGGACAATTTTCCTTCCTTTTTTTACAATATGTAAATTCTTTACATAAGAAATTACAAGAGAGAAGTATTACTTTTATTTGTACGCTCTTTCTTTCTTTCTATAACTATAACATTGTTGGAAAAGAACAAGATTCGACAGAATTACATCCATTTTAATTTTTAATTTCGTTTCGATTATTCTCAAGCTTCTTCGAGACCACATCTCGAATAAATATTCTCCAATACTA